CGACGCCGAGCTCCACCGCCGTTGGCTCGCCCAAGCCGCTCTCGCAGCACGCGATGTACATCGCGACGGCGATGACATACGCGTTCGGTGTGAGCTGCATCGGTGCGATCTCGAAGTGATCCAGGACCGACCTGATGAAAGGATGGAAGGGAATCATCCCTCCACCCTTGAAGCTCTTTCGGGAGATAGCAGAAAGAAGGCGGCAGGATGTAGCGGACGACCGGTGTGGGCAGAGGACACCTCTGCTCGGCGTTCTACTGTTTTTAATCTATAAACTTCTTCTCGGGTGAGAACGAGAAGACTAGGGACGCCTCCGCGGGAACTTCCCGCCGGTGGACGAGCGGGTTCCTTCTGGGGTAGGGATGCTTCGGACGGTTCATTCCAGAGTCTGCAACACGACAGACACGATCATTTAACCTCGTAGTTTGTCCCATTGTAACGGCATGGACAAAATCCTTAAACACTAACGGAACCGAGCCGCCACCTACGGCTCGAGTCGACAACAATGCGGTCTATGGGGGACCCAGGGGAGGTCCCAACGCCGTTGCCCACCAACCCAACAAACAAAAAAAAAAAAAAAAATAAAAAAGAAAGAAAAGAGAGAAGAGGGGATGTTTAACCTGCTCGGGAGGATGAGTTAAACTAAGACGAATCCGTTTTGAACGTCTGAGAAGTGACGATCGGAAAAGAATCACCTCCGGGTTTGCAAAGTACTTATCATCGAAGCAAAGGGTTGTAGCGGCTTCATCCGGAAAACCGTGGTTCTTATTGGGCAACGAACCGACGGTTTTGCAAACCCCTCGGAACCGAAGCGACAACCTCCCTCTCCTCTAGCATTTAAATGCGGCCCCCCGTGCATTAAAATGCTAACTAAGGGCTGAGTTTTCAAATGCGTGTGCAGTAAAAGCTGGCAATACGACGTCGAGTCAGCACAACCACGCATTTAATGCACCTGCACAGGTACAGCGCGGAGAGCAGAGTGCCCAACAGCGCGGAGATTGCAGGTTCATTGAAATCTCTCCACAACATAGAAAGGACGTCCGACGAATCCAGGCGCTAGTGATGGTCATCAGTAGTATTGGACAAGGTGGCTCGAGGTCGTGCTCGCAAAAGGATTCTGCACGAGTTCTGACATTCAGGTCGAAACAAACCAAACAACCTATCACGGCAGACTTAGTCCCAAGGTTCGCTCCTCAAACTTAAAACTAGGGGATTCTGTATGTGGGAAAATAAAGATGGACGGGGACCGTGCGTGACGAGATGTGGATGCTACGTTAGATGATAAGCGCACGTCAGGCCTGCCATGCATCCTAGAGCTTCCACGTGTCCGCTTACCTGCTCCAAATCGCGTAAAATTTGCTGGGAAAGTGGGTAATGGGACGTAAAGCCTGATTACGTTCTGACATTCACACCAACCCAAGGATTTAATGATGATTACATGCATTCCGCTTGGTATAAGAAGAAGACTACCCCTTCATTAAGGGGATTCGATCATTTTTGACATTTACTCTCTCTCTAAGAAAGCTCTGTATTTTTACTCTTCAATCATTTGTAAGTCAGTCCGCTTTTAGCGACCTGACCCACCATATCAATACAAATCAGTGGATGTAGGATTTGCTACCTTAGCATCCGAACCACTTTAAAACCCTTATTGCATTTATTTCGCTTTCTATATTCATTATCACGTGTGCTTTTTGACCAATCAACGTTCCACCACGTGACAGTTAGTTGGTGTCTAAATTTCGCATCAACAATATATATTTGCAGAAACTATCAAAGAAACTACACCAGTTTGAACATAATTTTATATTAAATATTACCAAAATAATGTTATGATCAGTTGACTAATGTTTCTCAACATTATATTAGTATTACACGTTCACACCGACTCATCCACATTGCTTATATAAATTCCTAAAGGTTACATTTCTCTATATGACCTTTTTTTTTTTTTTTTTTTTTTAAACAATCATAAGTGCATTAACAGGAATATTTTCCTTCACAAAATAATTCTCCTGTATAAAGTCATTATACATATAAGTAGTTATGTTACTTCTGTAGTTCCTTCAGATATATAAATTTTTTCTATGCTAATTATCACATGATTATTAAGCATAATCTAATAAAATTTATATCAAAACGTCTTGATTAGAGAAAAATTTGGTTTTGTGTATGTATATCACGATTATTTGTAAATACTATTGGATTTATTCGTAAAATAGTATTTCAATCAATGATGATAAATCTAATTGTATTTAAGTAGAATCCTTATATAACAAATATCATAACACCTTGATTAGAGAGTTACTCTTACACAGAAATTCAAATATTTTATTTCCACTTTATTAACCATGTAGAGAATAAATAGTAAAACTAGCAAATACAAAGTTGTATTGCTCCTAATGGAAGACTTTTCTTCACTCTATACAACCAAAGGGAAAAATAAGGGTAAAGCCTTGATAAGGTTGTTATGATATTAATTTTAAATATGTTTTTGAAAATAAATTTATGAAATGAATTTTTTTTTTTGTAATTTTTTTTAAATGTAAATTCAGGAAAGATTTAGAGAATATAAGGCGGTAAGGGAAGAGATGAAAATATTCTTTGGGAATTTTCTTCTTATATATATATATATTTTTTCAAATTTCCAAAACAGTTTTAATTAAACTCTCACTCGCAAAACCAGATTTTTTTTTTTTTTTTATTGAACTGGATCACATTTTATTGTAAAAACCATCTTCTGACACCTGCTCAGGTTAAACTAAAAGATAAAATCCAGGCAATTATACACAAAAAAAAAAAAAAAATTATACTCATAAGATATATAATTCTACCCATTTTATTATTTATTTCACCGACTCTTCACCAATTTTNCTCAAAGAAAGAATCAACCAACAAAAGCAACAAATCAAGATCAAGAATCATACACAAGACCAACAGATTTACCGTGGTTCACTTGCTCTAAGATTGAGCAAGCTACGTCCACGTTGAACTCGAGAATCACACGAGCCCACTGCACTAATACTGTCAAGTTTACAGATTACACAATCAGCAACACAAGTCACTCAAAACCCCTTCTTCAACCCGTAACCAAACCCTAGAGATTACACCCTTTGAATCCCTAAGAACAGTGTATACTATACACCCAGAAATGACCAAACCAGTCACTCAACACTCAAGTTACAGGAAACACTCAACCCAAACTGTAGAAACCCTAAAGGCTTAACAATGGTGTTTAACGAAGAAGAGAGAGTATTCGAAAACGAAAATGAATCGCTCTGATAAACTGCCAAAATAATTCTGCTTTTATATGGGTGAAATTAGGGTTGAATTTCATCCGTTGGATCTCCTTTTTCATCAACGCTTAGGATTGGTTCTGTCAATATGAACAAAGTGACGTCGTTCCACTTAAGTGTTAAAACGGTAGCGTTTCAAGCCATCATCCAACAAAACCATCTTATGACACTTGCTAAGATTAAACTAAAAAATCAAATCCAGGCAATTATACACGAAAAAAGAAAAAGAAAAATTATTATCATAAGATATATAATTCTACCCATTTGATTATTTATTTCACCGACTCTTTACCAATCTCTAGACAGAAGATTTTACACTAAAATATTATCAAATATTGGCTCCTAAAATAATATTACTTGTAACCAGCTGGCAAGATATTGAGCTTAAGTTTATAGATGTTATGTCTATTTTTGACTTCATATTTTGTACGAAGTTTTATCAGACACACTTGAGGTTTAGTGAGAGAATAAAGAGACCCACAACTTTCATAATGAAACATTTACATCTTTATAATTGAATGATGTTTGTGAAAAGATCATAAGAGTAAAATATACAAAAAAAAAAAAAAAGTTTTTTATTTCTCATATGTCTTAGTTAATTGTCAAAGTTTAATATTTCTAAATCATTTAATAATTTGATCATATGAAGAAGAGATAAAATAAGGGCATATTAGTTATTGTACCAAAATTCTGTATCCGATTAATTTTTCACAAAGCATCTGTCAATTATAAGGGTGTAAATGTTTCATTCTAAAATCTGTGGGACTTTTGTTGGAAAAATGGCTCATTTAGCAAATCACATGGGGGTAGATGTGATAATGAAAAAAGGTTTAGGGACTTATATGTAATAGGCTAAAATGTTAGTTTGTCCCACATTGCTTGGGAATGAAAAGTGGGAAACTTTTGAGGCCTATATATAAGGACCTAAATCATTGTTATTAGACATCCCAAGGTGTAATTCCAGTATACTTCTTTTGTTTAGGGTTCTTTCTTTAAGGACCATTTAGTTTGCAAGTTTTATTGTATCTGCCCTTTGTTTTGGGTATTTGTTGTATTGCTCAAAAGTTTGTAATATTGTTTGGAGATAGTGGAGTTTTTTTTTGCAGCACCCGAGGATGTAGGTTTTCATACCGAACCTCGTTAATTCCTGGTATTCTTTATTTTTACATTTAATTTTGGCAATTTATTTATGCTTTACTACTTGTTATTATTATATTCAATAGCTAGCGTTAAAGTTTATGTTTCCATTGCATAACAAGTGGTATCAGAGCCTAGGTTTAAGATAGTGAGTAGCTATTTGTATGGTTATATGCATGTTTAGGAAAATTCTGTCAAAAAGACGATAAAAGTCTAAAGAGACTGGATTTTAAGTGGGACCATTTGTGACCCCTCCATTGTTTCCTGGGAATTTTCTTGGTGCGTATTTAATCATTTCAGAACTTACTACTACCTAGGGCTATTGTTGATTTGTTGGTTAGCTATTGAATATAATAATTTGTGGAGCTTGGTTATTGGAAACTTTGTTTACCAAGCCAATTGAGTAAGGCATAAATGACATCATTGTCCGAGGATTCATCGTCCGAGGCATCAACGTCTGCGGCACCACCATCCGCACCAGTAAAGATGATAACGGTTTCAAATGCAAAAATTGATGTTGAAAAATTTGATGGCCAAAATAATTTTGGCTTGTGGCAAAGTGAGGTAATGGATAGTTTGTATCAGCAGGATCTAGATATCGTTCTGGAGGAGGAAAAACCAGAAGATGTTTATGAGAAAAACTGGGTGAGGTTGAATGTAATTGGGGACTAATTTATTAAAGTCTTAATCCAGGCTGTTATAAACATCAAAGAAATATATCTAGAGTTAATCAATGATTGGAAAATCTCACTATATAAAGAGTGCATGGCATTTGTGTTTTCTATCAAACAAGTCACAAAAACAGTTATAAGAACTTGAAATGGGATCCCTGGGACAGCCGAGGCAATGGCCTCGCTTGGTTTACGCTATGGCAAGCTACAGATTATACGTATAGCTCACCGCCGCCACATGACTACTACAAGTCCCCACATTATCCACCCAAGCATGAAGAGTATCCACCGTATTACTACAAGTCCCCACCTTCTCCACCTCAGCATGAAGAGCATCCACCATATTATTACAAATCACCCCCTCCACCAAAGAAATCTCCACCACCACCATACTACTACAAGTCCCCACCTCTTCCACCAAAGAAGGAAGAACATCCACCTTATTACTACAAGTCACCACCTCTACCCAAAAAATCTCCTCCACCTCCATACTACTACAAGTACAAGTCCCCACCTCCACCACCAAAGAAGGAAGAATACCCACCTTATTACTACAAATCACCACCTCCACCTAAGAAATCTCCACCACCACCATATTACTACAAGTCACCACCTCCTTCACCAAAGAAAGAAGAACATCCACCATATTACTATAAATCACCTCCTCCACCAAAAAAATCACCCCCACCACCATACTACTACAAGTCCCCACCACCTCCACCAAAGCACGAAGAGCATCCACCTTATTACTACAAGTCTCCACCTTCAACTAAGAAATCCCCACCACCTCCATACTACTACAAGTCCCCACCTCCCCCACCAAAGAAGGAAGAACATCCACCATATTACTACAAATCACCACCTCCACCGAAAAAGTCTCCTCCACCACCATACTACTATAAGTACCCACCCCCTCCGCCAAAGCAGGATGAGCATCCACGATACTACCATAAAAATCCCCCTCCACCTAAGAAATCTCCTCCACCACCCTACTACTACAAATCACCACCTCCTCCGCCAAAGCATGAAGAACACCCACCTTATTATTACAAGTCACCTCCACCAAAGCATGAAGAACACCCACCTTATTACTACAAATCACCATCTCCTCCAAAACACGAAGAATATCCACAATATTATTACAAGTCACCGCCTCCACCATCTCCATCACCACCCCCTCCATACATTTACAAGTCACCCCCACCTCCAAAAGGCTATTAAGCTTACAGTCACTTCTTGAACTTATTTGATGCTACCAGGAATAGCTAAGTTTCTTTGTGATTCTATGTATGTTACTTTGGCATTGTTATTTTGTGAGTAATAATAAGAGTTTATACTTTTGTATCCCAATTCATGTCTTATTTGTACCATTAGCTATAATAAATGGAAGTTGGTAATCTAAGTTTTGATCACTATTCTGTTGCTCTCTAATTCTTGATAATTTCATTAATAGTATTAAAATAATCTATACCCTGCAAAAGTTGAAAAGTACTCATATTGGAACATTATTTTCAATAAACATAACCATATATATTATGTTGGGATAATATTGAGAAATTATTCATGATATTTAACTCGAAAATGTAAAATTAGGGATGTCACTTGTGGAGCTGTATAATTTTTTACTCTATTTTTTCATCATTTTCAAATTATTTATTTTTTATTCTAAGTGTTTGTTTGCTCTTAAGACTAGCCCTCTAATGCCCTCACATTCGGAAAATTAGCTTGGAAAATTGAATCAGAATGTTTTAGAATCATAATTTTTGCCCTTGTGTATCAAAAAATGAAATATTAAAATTCTGAATCGAATTCAGTATTATAAAGATTAAGAGTGATCATTTAATTTACTTATAATTATTCCTCAAGTAGAAAGCGTTCCATGTTCATGAATAGCTTTTTTCAAAAGGGTTAGGGTTTTTGCTTCATCGATGAATGTGTTGGTACAAGATATGATTTCTTGAAATTGAGGTTTACTTGTTTTTAAGTAAGTAACTAACTCTACGAGAAATTTTCTTATTTGTCCAATTTCTAATGAATCAAGATAACCCTTCGTTGCCGTATAAATAGTCATTAATTATTCTTCAACCGTAAGAGGGGCTGCTTGGGTTTGTTTGAGCAACTCACGTAATAGTTGATCCTTTGCCAATTGATTTTGAGTAGCTTTATCAAGATAAGAAGCAAGTTGTACGAAGGCTTCTAATAATGGCAGGTCTGAATCCTGCATTGAAATATATAACACCAATTTGATAGCATTGTTGGTCTCAATTGACCGGAGATTATTGATAATATCAAATTATTAGTTTCATGTGAGGGCTACCAATTGACAAATGCATATATACAATAGAGTAACCAGTAACCACTATGGACGAGGTGAGCTTGAGGGTTCGTGAAATGTTAGAATTCGATGTTATAATTTTCAGCATCGTGTTAGATATTCTCCGGTGCTACTTTAGTGTTTTCCGATGCTTGTTTTGCTTTGGAAAATGTTAAGATCTCACACCGGAATCTCACACCCACAATGTGTGATACTTAAGCCTAGGGTTTATCCCATCTATCAGGTCGATTTTTTGGGTTGGGTTCTCCTTTGGGTTTGAGTTCTAATATTGGTGCTTTAGTTGAGAGTTGAGTTACGAAAATGGCTACCTATAGGCTAGATTAAGGTGCACTATGCTCTCCTTAGGAGGGGGTGCTGCAATGAGTGAAGCCGCCCAAAGTGGGAAAAAGGGTTATCATCAAGTCAGTGTTGATAGAGTGAAAGCCGCTGTGGATGTCGGTAAGTGTGGTACTTAAACCTAGGGGCTCTCCTACCTATCAAACTGGTCTTTTGGGTTAGGCTCTCCCTTGAGTTTGAGTTCTAACATAAAACCATAATTTTAAAAACAATTTTCTTGTGGTGTACGTTCACTGCCCATGGCAATGTATATCATTATACCTATATAGATTTTCTTCTAGCTAGACTCAGAATACAACTTTGAGGCGATTAATTTAAGTTTTAAGAAACTAAACCGTGTGAGAGTTATAACAAGATTCTCTTCTTTCAATTGCTGGCTTGCTGGCAATGTGCTAGTTGATTATAATATATACATTGGCAGAAACTATGAAAGAAACTGCACCAGTTTGAACATAATTTTATATTAAATATTACCAAAATAATGTTTGATGAGTTTACTAACGTTTCCCAACATTATATTAGGATTAAACATTCACACCGACTTATCCACATTGGTTATATAAATTCCTAAAGGTTAAATTTCTCTATATGACATTTTTTTTTTTTTTTCTTAAAACAATCATAAGTGCATTAGCAGGAATATTTTCCTCCACAAAATAATTCTCCTGTATAAAGTCATTATACATATAAGTAGTTATGTTACTTCTGTAGTTCCTTCTGATACAGTGGCGGATCCAGGAATTTCACTCGATGGGGGCAAAAAATAAACAAAAAAATTTAAACCAATCATAACCATACTTTTTTTTTTTTCATTAGGATGAACTTCAACAAAAAGTTACAAAATACAATACATATATTCAAAAAACACAATTTTTCTACAATTGTCCTCGATGAGTTTTCATATTATGAACACGTTGGATAATCATCTCATCGTCAATTGTATCAAATACATCTTTCTCAATATAGGTGACCAAACAATCATTCATTCATTGATCTCCCATTTGATTGCGTAACCGACTTTTCACAAGATTCATTGCAGGAAAAGCCCTTTCAACGGTCGCAGTCGCAACTGGTAAAACCAATGCAAGTTTCACAAGCTTATACACCAATGGATACAAAATGTCTATTTTAAACCAAACTAAATTCTTAGCCAAATCACCAATTCCTTGTAACTTAGCAAATTCATCACAAGAACGCATGTCAATAACATAAGTCTTAACCTGGTTCTCAAGTACCCTCAACTCAAATGTAGAAAAATAAGATGGATAAAACTGGGGAAAACGGATCAACTTATGTTTGTCAAAAGCAGAGAATGAATTACTTGGATCTAAACATGCCATACAAAGAAGCAGCTCAGTACTAACCTCAGTGAAACGAGTGTTAAGTTCTTGAAGTTGCATATCTATCACAGTGTAAAACAATTCAACTCAATAGTGATGCAAATTTGTCATGTGCTCAGCTCTCCGTTGTGGCCGCCCTCGAATTGCAAACATATCATCCATATTCAAAATGGCATTATCATGCTTTTGGCAAAATGAAGAAACTTCACTGAACAAAGATTCACATCCTTCATCTCTCAACAATTGTAACCATTGTTTGGAAACTTTGACTAGGGCCATAGCATTTACAATGTCTTGATCTTTTCTCTGCAATGCTTGTGACAACTCATTAGTAATTGCTAATATACTTTCTATCATATGTAAGTTAAATGCAAAATCAAAGGAATATATTAAATCTAATAGATTACATGCTTCACCCCTTTATTCAGGATTTAAACCATCTTCTTTAATAACCTCAAGCACATCGGCCACAGAGGATAACAAAAGGATTAAGTTGATCAATATATAATAATACGAGCCCCAACGTGTATCACCAGCTTGTTTTAGACTTGTCTCTTGATTCAAACCTCGTCCCTTGCTAACTTCACCAATTTCTAGTGCTTCAACAAGTTTATGAACTTGGCTCTCCCGAAGCATGTCTCGACGCTTGCGTGAACCTCCAATAACATTTATCAAATTAGTAACTAAGCTGAAAAATGAAGCAATAGAAATGTGATTTTTTTGCAACGGCTACTAGTGTCAACTGAAGCTAGTGAGCAAAACAGTGAACATAATAAGCATATTCATTCTCCCTCAAAATCAAACTTTTCAGACCATTAAATTCTCCTTGCATATTACTTGCCCCGTCATAACCTTGTCCACGTAATCTTGACAAACTTAATCCATGTTGACAAAATAATGACTCAAGAGCCATCTTAAGTGATACTGTAGTTGTGTCACTAACATGTACAATGCCAAGAAATTGCTCAAGTACATGACCCTTTTTATCTACATAACGTATGGCAATAGCCATTTGTTCTTTAATTGACACATCACGAGACTTAGCAATCAAAACTGGAAATATGTCGTCTCCAAGATCACTAATAATAGCTTTTGTGGTTTCATTTGCCGCAGCATTCACAATATCTTTCTGAATCACTGGTGCTATCAATTTAAGATTCCCAGGTGCATTCTTCAAAACAACACCCTTAAAATGTTCATTATGCTGAGCTAGAAAATGAAGAAGTCCGACAAAGTTACCTTGGTTCTTCGAGTCTTTAGTTTCATCATGACCACGAAATGCCAACCCTTGACACAAAAGAAATCTAATGCAAACAATGGATGCAGTCAAGCGAGTTCGGTATTCAGTCCTAACTTGATCTGATTCCTTCGATAGAGCCACTTCGATATGTTGATTTTGATTCATTAAATTCACACAACTCTGTCGTGCTTGGTTATGAGCATTATTTGGCTGGCCAACATGAATTTGAAAGCGTTCTGGTTTCTTCCAATTACAAAATCCCTCACTAACGAAAGCGTCACTACCAGCTTGGCTTATAATGATAGGTCTAAAAAGATAACAATACAAACATAATGCAACATCTTTGGTCACACTATACTCAAGCCAATCGCCATACACATCAAAACAAGCAAGATTAAATCGATGATATCCTTTTCCAAATTTTGTCAGTGGAAATGCATGATTTTGAGGCTGGCAACAACTCTTTTGCAAGTAAAATCTTCGAATTGCATCCCTATAATTAGGATGATAATGATTGATTTTAGGCCGTAGAGCTAGATCAGATGGAAGATCTTTCAAGATGGCTTCTAGTTCTACATGACTTTCTTTTAATGGATCATTTTCTTTATCATTGGCTTTACTTTCTTGGACTGATGAGAATGATTGGTCTATTGTCGATTTTCTTTTGAGAAATTTATCCATATTGCATACCTAATAAGAAGTTTTAAACAAATAAAACAATAAGAAATTGTACAAGAATAATAACCTATAGTGATTTACATACATGGTAATGGAAAGACAATAAGACATACATAGTAACCCATAGTGATTTACATACATAGTAATGGAAAGACAATAAGAATGTGATATTTTGTGGGTTTGAATTCCTTTTAGACTCATTTAACATGAATCATGTAACATGAATCATGCATATTTATAGAAAAAAGAAGTCAACTCTTTTTATAAAATTTGATTTAGTCAAGTAATTTAA